AAGGCCCTTGTTTGTAATGTAGAACAGGTTAGCTATTGGCTTTCATAGCATCCTTTGTAGTGACCTGGACTCAAACTGGATTTATGGCTCCACCCATGGGTGATTCATATCAGATAATCCTCTTCACCTCATATTTCTACCTCCAGAAATAGCAAGGGGACAAAATACTCAGTCTCAGCAAAAAAAATACAATATGAGCTAGACAAAGGTACTGGAGTTCTATCCCAGGAGTGGTATAAAAACGTTACTAATTCATTGATAGGTCCCAGGAAAACAGTGGGCTCTGTCTGGCAAATAGGAGAAGTTCTGAGGCTAGACTCTTTGTATGGTTCATCATATATCCACAGCAGCCATTTTAATATGAAATAGTAGGGTAAACACAGCTGTTACCAATGATACTAATTTATTCTTCAAGTCCCGCCCCTTTTTGTTCTCTGCTCCAATAACAGTTGAGCAAGCCTTGGACAAAACCTCCTCAGCTTCCTCCTTTCCTGTACTTGGATATGTACAGGAAAGGAGAAAGTTGAGGTTCCAGAAGGGAGAGGACTTAGGAAGGGTCAGTTATGGTAGTGGTTTTCAAACTGTGGTCCGGGGACCAACAGGGGTCCTTGAGTGGGTTGTAGGAGGTCCCATAAAAAGAAGGAATAGGAAGAATATTTATATATTAATATATATATTTTTATTTAACTTTTTACATTTTGCAAGTTTGATCAACAAGGGCAGAGATAGGGATGGCTGTTTTTAATTATGTAATTTATAGTGGTCCTAGTTTGATCATTGATTAACTATAAACCTAAAAATAAAAGAATACTCTTGGAGGATTCCTTAAGACAAAATCCACTCAAACTGGGGGTCCATGGTCTAGTGTGCATCTGTTGTGAGGGTCCTTGACATGAGTAGCAGAGCCTTTCTAGATAGCCCACATGCACAATAGCAGCACCCTGGCTCTGTCTGACCTGAATGGAACAGAACCTTAAAGCTGCAGTAGGTAACCTTTATAAAAAAATAACCATTTGTCATATTCACTGAAACTTTGACTATATCCTCACAGTAGTACATGAGACAGATACTCTGTGAAACAATCAGGTTCCTTTGGTTCGTTCTAGCACTAATACCTAATGGTATTTGCAAAACTCCACTGGGCCTGGACAAAAACAACCAATCAGAGCTGAGAAAGACAGAAAGCTTTGGGTTGGAGGCTTGAAGATAGTTCATCGTTGAATGAGTCAATTCCTAGAGTCCCAGAGTGTCTGTATTTGACTCCCTTGGACTCAATAGTCAACTGTCTTTCTTGGCTCTGATTGGTTGCTTTCACCATGGCATGTCTACATAATTCTAGGGTCCCTCTGCAGAGATCTCTGCAGCACTCAACAGATTCATTCTTGTCATTTGTTAAGCAAAAATGCCAAACAGTCTCTCTTCCCAGCCACTCAAACGTGAATCTTTGCTGGTTTTATTAGTCCTCTATGATAGAAAACTGGATGTCGTTGTGCAGTCTTTGGACTGTTGGTTGAGGAAAGCAAGCAGTTTGCTCGACCAACTTTAACTCTGGAAAACTGTGCTGTGCATTTTTCTCTATTTCATATAAAGAAGTGATCTGGGAAAATAATCAACATATTCATCCATGATGACATTAATCTTTATACATCCCTACACTTCACCAATCAGGCCTTTGTAGAGGCTACACATGAGCTGTTTCTAAGGAAAAGACATTTGGAAACTAGTTGAAGCTCATTTCCTAGATAGTACCGTTCTTACAGTGAAGCATCATGGCTGTAGCATCATGCAAGGGAAGTGCTCTCTGCAGAAGAGCCTGGAGACCGTCGGAATTCTAGAAGTTTTGGAAAGAGACGGATTCAGAGAGGTCCTTAAAAAGAATCTGCTTCATAGTGGTCACAGGGCCATGCTAAGACATCAGGATCAGTCAGTCAATGTCCTGCAGATCTGTACATCACGGTTCATCACATCTGACAGCTCTGAGAGGATCTGCGAGGACGAGTGAGAAAAACTCCATGAGTACAAAGCTGGTACTGACAGACCAAAGATGATTCCAAACTGATGTGCTGCTAGTGATTTGTTTACAAAGTGCCGAACAAATACAATAGGTATAAATGAGAGATTTCACATTTCTTTTAATGAAATTCTAAAATGTCTAAATTGATTCTGAATAAAGGACAGGTCTCCAAATGTACAAACACACTGTCCATGTATATATATTAGTGTGTTTGTCCACTATGTCTATAGCATGTAGCCTTTATACAGTATAGTGGTTCATGTTGGACCATATATTCTAGTATGATGTGGGTTTCTTATAGTGGCATCTAGAGTTCCAGATCATTACAGCTCCTGTAGTTTTGTTGCAGATAACAAAGCAATACTTTTGCCAAATCTTGCGAATTGAGAAATTCAACAAGTTTCTTATTAATGGTTTGCTCTGATATTACATCATATGCTCTCTTTTCTTCCTTTATTAGTAGCGATACATGATATGGATCTTTTTTCAGCCGATATGATAATTACCTGCTTCTCATGGCTGACACCGATAAGATAATGATCATTTAGTCTGAGATGATCTTAATATTCCATAGCTCTGATCTAACCCAGTCTAACTGACATCACTATTGTTAACAACAACAACAACAACAACAACAACTACAGTTCTGACTCTTCAGATGTTCTTTTATTTTTTCTAATAAGGTTAAAGCCTATCAATCATTTTGCATAAGAATTCAAAATAAATTATTATTAATATCAATCAATAATTTATCTGCGCTAATTTAATTAATACTATTCTAATTCATAAAAATAATCAGAGCAACACTCCTCAGGCATTTAGGGTGTTTTCATTCATAGCGATCGACTGATGAGTTTAATAAGTATGTTTCTCCTACAGCAAGTAGCAATGTCCGACTTCGTCCAATCGTACAGTCACCATAAAGCGAGGCATGCTAGGCTTCCATCCAATCATCTCCAGATTCACTCCATTAACCCGGTACACTTTCCAGCTCTGTGTGTTCAACATAAAAGGTCTTTTTTAAGTAGCTTCTGTTTGATGGACAACCAGTGGAGTAGAAGCTTTTTTTCAATCATGTGCCTCTGTGTTCATGTGATTTCCTGTCTTCTCTCAGCGTGACTAGAGCAGCACAGCAGTGAGGTGGCTGCAGGCCCTTCCACTCCAAACACATCACGTCTATTGCAGCTGCTAACACACACACTGGCATCTGGGTGGAGACCAGCATTCCACAGTTGAATACCACACATGCTACAGGTTCCTATGAAGCGCCTGTTTAGGGGAAGGAGACAGGAAGTACTGTGGCCCCTGAGGTCTGCTTCACAGTGATGTTTGTGACACCTGAAATACAAGTGAAATATCCCTGCTTTTACTTCAGCTGTCTCTGTAGAGCCTCCTCTGACTGTACTGTCAGCTCAGTGTCAAAGGCTACTTGGCACCGCAGACCTCATTTGTTAGTAGATGTGCAGTAGAAGCAATAGAATTCATGGGCAGACGATAATGAGGACGAGCAGAAAGAGAGCCAGAGTTATTCAGATTTTTTGTGGTGCAATGGCTACCTCGTACAGAGGTATGTGTGGATTGGGAGTCAGAGCAAACACAGACCGGGTACCAGTGATAAAACGATACATTCAACTCAAGATTTAAAATTTAGAGACTAGTTTTCCACACTGCAAAACAGCCCTTCTAGAAATAAGCTAAATATTCTTAAATATAATCAGATTTTCTTGTATTGAGCAAAAACAATCTGCCAATGGGGTAAGCCAGTTTTGCTTAGGTACAATTCTTAAAACTAGCATATAAAGCTAGCCACTGAAAGACTGTAATGGGCCTTAAAAGTAGTAAAAGAAAAGAAAGAAAAGAAAGTAAGTTGTGCTTTATTAAAATAATTTTGGTAAATTTATTGAGCTGAATTTAAGAATTTTGTAGCCTAATCTAATGAATAATTAGCATTTCTTATTAAAATGATGAAAAACTAAACAGCTACTTCATTTCCAACACTGGGACCAGACTACTTTCTCTTAAACTGAGAAGTTGTGCGAGAGGTCTTACTCTTAAAATAATTTAAATAATTACTCTGCTGGGATATTATGCAAACCATTGTTGTAACTTGTTACTGATTAAATCGAGCTCAGTATTAGCTGTAATATCTAAGTTACATAGATTTTCAAAACATAAAAAAAGACTCATTTCCCAGGAACAAAGCTTTTTTTACTTTGTTGAGATTCCTTTTATTTAGTGCAGTCATAGAAATCTCATTAAATTAGAATTTTATTAAAATTACCAAAAATCCTAGAAATAATCTTAGTTGTCCTGGAGATATGTATTTTTGTAGTTTAGCTCCTCATTCCCAGCTGAAAAACAAGATAAATTCTGCTTGATATGAACTGTTACTTCTGGCCCGAATTCATGTAGTAAAGTAGTCAATGCACCAGAGACCACAATAGTGAGCAGAGTGTGTGACTACCTACCTGCCCTGTATTGGCAATACAAACTCCTGGAACCATCCTGGAAAAAGATTTCTTAAATAGAATGGGAACCCTGGGGACATTCCCACTGATTACGATACGACCCCTCAGGTTTTGGTTATGAGGTCTAAAACTTCACTGTCTACCTCCATCTCAGCTGTCTTCCATATTTGTATCCACTGCCAGCGCAGAATTGTGCTCAATGTTAATCTAGAGTCACGTAAAAATTGTTCACACTGAGGTCACATCGCAAAAAATCCGACCTGTATCTGAATGGTCCAAATCAGAATTAAAAAGACCAGATTTAATGTGATTTGTGCTGTTCACACTTTCATGAAAAAATCAGATCTGGGTTACATATGAGCCAAACAGATTAGGTTTGGAACACTTTTACCTGCTGTGTGAAAATAGCCACTGTCTAACCTCCCCTGACTCCTTCCTGTATTTCATGTAAATATCATTCACTAGTGTTTTTCCTTCTCTGCAGGTGATCTCAGGCCTCTCTGTGAACCAGGCCCTCACTCCTTCCTCACCCCCCGCACCTCCTGCTGATGATGTCATCACCACCAGCGAAGCCCTCCGCTGCCTCCCTCTCCCCCAGGTCCCAGCTGCCGCCCACAACAGCCCTGGACTCCCTGTCCCTGTCTTCCCTGTTGTCCGGGGATTTAGACGATGAAGAAGATGGAGGGAGAGGAGAGGGAGAGGGGGAAGGGCTGGGAGACCTGGAAGTGAACCCATATGACGGTTTGCCCTTTTCTTCGCGCTACTACTCCCTGCTGGAAGAAAGGCAGAGGTTTCCCATATGGAGGCTCAGACAGAGCCTACTGGAGCACCTGGAGAGCCACAACATGGTGCTGCTCAGTGCACCCAGTGGAGCTGGAAAAAGCACGCAGGTAACCAGTAATCAACACCTTAACACCTCAGCACCTTAATTTAGGCAAAATAACAGAGTGTGTGTAACCACCTGGGTTTATTCAGGTCCAACTGTAAACCTGAACCTTTGATATCTGTTAATTGACAGTGTTTGTTGCAACCATAGTAGCGTTTTTGTATCTATGATAACATTTTTGCATCCTTTTTCATCTGGTCTACTAACCCTAACCCACTATTCTCTATGTAAAGATACAGTGCAGTCAGGGTGTCACTCTCCCTCTGCCTGTGTTGCTATCACAGCCTCTCTGTGGTTTGTTTCTATAGCCGGTCTGCTCCATGTGCAGCTGAGTAGAGCCACTGAAACTGCTGTTTTTAACATCTACATCAGTGAATTAAGGATATATTTCGAGTTGATGATTGTTGAAACAGTGGAAAGACTAACAAAGACTATGATACGGTGATAGTGATATGACGGCTGTTTCTGGTTGAACAAAAGGTCTATCTCTGTAGAGATCCTTTCTATAATTTTGTCTGAGAATAACAATCTGAGCTGTCAGTGGCAAAAACAACTACTTTTAGTGGATGTATTTTGGCAGACGTATTTGTCTCCAAGGATTAGCTAACGTTACACGGCAGCCAAAGCAATCCGTTTTGCAGCTATTTTGATAAGTGATGGGTTTATTTTAACCAGGCCAGTGTTAGTGATTGTTGGAAAGACTAACAAAGACAGTTTTGCTGAGATCTGTTTTTCTTCTCTCCAGTTTGAAGTGTATTTTACAATTACCTGTGAGTTTAAATGTCAGTTTTTTGTCAATGGTCAATACAGTACATAAAAAAATGATGATCTGATCTCAACAGTAATACTTTGCCGTGGTTTTGAGACCATAAGATGTTAAGAGGATGTTGGTAATGAGTGAATTTCATATACTAGTTCCAAGTACAGATTTTAGCACTGATACAAAATAGTAATTGATTTAACACCTTAATTTTATGGTGACTTGACTTGTTTTGTGTGTTGGTGTTTTCAATGTAGTCCAAGGTAATGCTTTGAGTGTTATACATTCACAGTCCCATACTGAACACTACTCTCTTTAGAGTAGAGGTGTCTTTTTGTGTCGCCCTCCGTGCGATGACTTGGTTATCATTACACCTGCTCCTCAGCTCCACTCCCTTCAGGCTAATGAATGAGAGCATTAAAGCACTACAGTTGAATTACACTGTTGTGCTGTAACCTGAACACTCTTTTCATCAACAAACACTGTGGGCTCCCCTTTCCAGCACCTTCTTCTCTGCACAGTTAATGCCACTGCCAAGTGTCTTAAACACTTTCTCCTGTTCTTTTACAGCTCTATCTCACACTTACAGTTACACATGTTGTTAGGGCACTGTCACTTTGACCTTTGCACTTAGGGTTAGGGTTATTACAGCTGGCTGCATGTAATGTCTTCACTCTCAATCAGAGAGAACAACTGGTATCTTCCTCAAAGTGTCATTCAAATGTAATATTTTAGAAGACACAACATTGATGCCATGGAGATTACATTTCCATGCCGGTCTGAATATTCTGCATTATTTGTGTTCTTTAAATATTTAGTCTTTATTTGAATCCCTATTAGTCTTGCTGGGCTTATATATGTCATTGTCCTCATCATTAGATCTAATGCAGGCTTTGATTACATATTTATTCTAGGTCTATTGTCGAGCCGTGTTTATTCATTCCATTGATGGCACTTTAGTTGCTTGCTCATTTATTACAAGGTCATGTACACACCTACAGCACTGTAAGCCAAGTGGATAAAAGCATATTTTCTATATTAACAATGGTTCAAATGAGTGCATGGAATAGGAAGGTTTTTTGGTTTACTTTGGTTTTATTGCACATTTATGGTTCATTTCACTCTCGGTGCTCTCATCCTCGTCTCCAGCAGCAGCAGGCAACTGTTTTCAGTGAGGAAGCTCCGTTAAACCCACCAAACAGCAAACAGCATTAGCTGAAGAAGAAAATGGAACATCTAGCAGTTAAAGCTGCAATATTAAATAAGCAATCTTTTATTTCTACTCCTAGTTGCTCATTATTTTGGTTTGTGTCATCCTCGTGCCCAGATGTTTCTCTAGAGAGTTGGTGGAAAACAAAACAAAGCCAGAAGCACTTTCATTCATTATAAACACGACTCCTAATGAAAGCTAATGTTGCTCTGTGTCTGCTGAATGTGCAAGTAGGCAAGCTTATGCTAACATGTTAGCCATAACGTTTTGATAAAGGATAATATTAGTCAGTGTTTCTCAGATTGTTGTGGAGTTCTTCTGCCCCCAAGTGGCTAAAAAAATCTGCAAGAACTTCAAGCAAATTGTATTCATGGTTCTGAGCAGTGGTTTTCTATCATTTAGTAAACTGACGACCCCTAATTGAGTGACATATTTTATGGATATTCCATATCATATTGAAAACTGTACAATGAACACAAACCGTGAACTCAGTAACTACAAGAAGTTTGTGTAAAATTAGTGATCTGGATGAATTTTGAGCAGATTGTTTCCTGTTTAGGGAACTTTTTATAAGATTTTCTGTCTGTATATGTATTTTCTATAGTTTCTAACAATCTAAAGTTTTCTAACAATCATACAGACTTATTTTTGGACAAATTCTGTGTTTTCTGGTGCCATTGTTCTATTTGACAATTTACTTGACATTACATTTAACAGAAATTAACCAAATGCTGAGATATAGTCCTACTGTGCGTATTTTTGAAAAATTCCTTAAACACCTTAAAATCAAGAAGGTCTCATGAGCCCCCATGAGGCGACCCCCAGGTTGGGAACCACTGGTTTAGAGTCCTAATTTTTTAAGATAGGTGTGAGGCACTTAGACAGTGGGTGGACTTGACCCATATATTTTTGACTGTAGAGTCTGGGCATGTGCACATTGTCCTAGTGAGAGCTGCTGAACCACTCTGAACCACTCTGAACTTACACTGTGAGTTGCCATTGAAAGCTGAACATTGTAAAAAGTAGTAAAGTAAAGTCTGTGACACCTGTCAGGGAATTGCTTCACCTTGTCACCATGTTCAAGTGTTCCACAAATATAACTTACTTTTAAGGTGTGTCTCTAGTATTCTATTACTACTTCCTCTTCTTGTTGTTGACCTCGTCTTTCTTCTCTTCCTTCTCCTGTCCTCCCTGCAGGTGCCACAGTGGTGTGTGGAGTATGCTTTGTCCTATGAGTTTTCTCAGGGCCTGGTGTGCTGTTCCCAGCCCTATTCGGTGGCAGCGGTGAGTCTGGCCTTTCGCGTGGCTGATGAGATGGATCTCAGCCTGGGTCTGGAGGTGGGCTACAGGGTGTCTCATGATGACAGCTGTACACCCGACACCCTGCTCAGGTTAGGCAGCAAAGATAACAGACAATGGATAATGACATCCTTTTATTTTCTCCCCTTTTAATGACTCTCATTGTCAGTTGCACAAGTACAGCTACAAACAAAATTGAAAATTGTTTTTTTTTGTTATTCAACACTATTTGGTGTTTAAACTGACATGGCAGCTTTAAACTGTTCACAATTATAGGAACAGAGAAGAAAATGTAATGCATTAATAATCAATATATATATATATATACAGTAGTTAATAATTCTGTTCAGTAACCTCTCTGAAATAAAACTTCAAAAGTTATTGATTAAAGGACAAAATTAAAATTAAAATGTTTTAATTTTTAATTAATTTTAATAAAAAAATTAAATTAAAGGACTTTCTGGACTATATTAGGCATGACAGCTGAGTGGTCTCTATAGACTAGCATCTAGAGGTCTGGAGGTACATCTCCATATAGGTCATAGTATCCAATGTGATATTATCACTTCATTATGCCTGTTAAAGTATTGTTACTATTTATTCACTTTTTTTTTTTTAAGTTTTAAAAAAGGTACATTTATAATGCTCTTTTATTTAATGTATGGCCCTTTAAAGTCCATCTGAAAAGGTCTGGTCTGAGTGTGAGAGATGGTTTAAAAAGGCTGAGCACGTACAAGATATCACTCTGTCACTAGGGAAATCTATTCATTGCTTTATTTTCTGAGCTCACTTCTGGTTCGTATCAAGTGTGACCATCCTCTCCTCGCCTGAGGTAATGTAGATGGCTTCATTGGATTTCAGCAGTTTTTTTATGATTACGTGGTCTTTCTTTTAGCCCCGGCTTGACTCTTTGTTTTCAGTGCCCTGCAGGTTGCTGTCCAATGTGGCAGTAAAGTGTTGTAGCAGTTTATTCACTGTAAATAATTTCTTTTGTCCTTTCCTGCACTCTCTGAGGTTTAAACAAATGTTGTTGATCATGAGTCAGACAACTTTTTTTATAAAAGTTGATATTTACAAGTACGGACACATTTTACTTGTTTGATATTCCTACTAGTAAAAAGTGTGATGTCCTATTAAAGCTACATCAGTTGTTTTTTTTGCCACTTGTGGACAACAGAACACGCTGAAAACAGCATTTACATAACATCACCTTAAATATGTGTTATGGTGAATTTGATAGCAAACAGTTGCCAGTTTACATGTCTGGCAGACACAAAGCGCAAGTGCAATATTCATTCTCTTTTAGCTCTGTTTTGGTCATCTCCTGAGTAAAATATCTGGCTCTTTAGCTGCTAAATGCTCCACTTTATTCACCAGTCTGCTGTTTGTTGCTGGGCAATAGTGTTTTTGTAAGAAATAAAAAGGGTAAATAAATGTACATCCATGTCCAACTTTAACATCACATGCTCTCTTAATTATGAGCCAAAGGATGCTTTGACATTGCTCCTGGCCATTAATCGTGGTTTTTGTGGGGTTTGATCCTTTGTGGCTGTTTCAAAATGCTCTAGGAACTCTATTTAAGAGCTATTTGTTTAAAGGTTCTTTCCCTGTCCCCAGGTTTCTCAGTGACACTCTCCTGCTAGAGGAAATGATGTCAGACCCTCTGCTGCATCAGTATGGAATTGTGGTGTTGGACGAGCTCCAGGAGCGCACCGTGCCCACTGACGTGCTGCTGGGCTTGCTGTGTGACGTCTGCCGGCAGAGGCCAGACAACTTCCGGGTTGTTCTCCTCACTCACCCAACGCTGGCAGCTCGACTGTCCGCCTTCCTGGGACCATCAGTCCCTCACCTCTCCCTGGACAACCTGCTCACTGACCCCCCTACCAGAGGAGAGGAGGAGGAGGAGGAGGAGGGATGTGAGGTAGAGGAGGACAGGAAGGCTGTTGGGATGAACACGGTAGAGACGTTGTACCGAGAGGTCTCACCTGGGAAGGAACCGGTTGCTGCTGCCTGTCACATGGTGCTGGATCTGCACAGAAGAGGAGAGGAAGGAAATGTCATGGTGTTTTTGGCCAGTGCACAGGTACAAGCTTTATACTCCCATCTCTTATAGGTTCTGGAGTGATTTAATGTTTAGATTTGTACTAAATTTCACAATTCAAATGAATATCTATGTGCTTAGGCAAAATATACATAAATATTATCACATTATGTTTCTGACCAACCTGTTTAATTATGACTTAAAGGACCAGTGTGGAATGGGAATTTTCTGACATTTTATGGAAAAAACAATTAGTCAAGAAAACATTCGGAAGCTTAGCGGAGTATGAAAATGACCATTGGTTGCAACCTTAGACATGTGTATTGATCACTAAGGTTAGAAAACATGCCTTAAATGGCCTCAGTCTCCTGGAACAGTGTATTAAGGCACAAAGACATGGCGGCCGCATGAAGACTTTGAAACTGAGGATCCACCATCCTGCTTCTCTTAAAATACATGCATTAGAACTCTCTTTACAGGAGACAAGAGAGAGTCATTTTTTAAAAGTCTGTAGCTTTTAACTGAATCTGTGTGGTTTAAAGTTTAGTTTCTCTCCTGTTTGTACTTTCACATATCTGCTTTATTTTTCTGTTTAAACTTCTCTTTCAGTTGTGTAGGAACTGTGTTAAGTTACTACTGATGAAAACCCAACACTTCCTGATTTTTGCTGCTTTAAGCATTAACAAAATAACTTTTTATTGTGGAAAATTCATAAGAAGTTAAATGTGTTCATCACCGGATCGGAGCTTAGCAGCTTTTCTTGAAAAGAAACGCAGGCCCCTGTTAGGCCACCTGCAGGTAGCCATGTTGTAATGGAGACGCAAAACCCTGCTGCACTGGTGCACCGAGTCCAACCGAGTCGAGCCAAGCAGCCACATGTGTATGGAAAAATGATATTAGTTGTTGTATAGTGAAGAGCTCAACATTTCTATGTGCCAAAAAACTAAACTAAACAATGATACATAACAGAAGTCCAGCAACAGTAATAGATGTAGCTGTTTTGCAGTAGGAACCTTATCATTTCCCCATTGAATAATCTGTCTCTTTGTAGTTTTAACAAAAGGAAAACTGCCGAACCAATGTTCTCTCTGTGCTGTGCTGTAGAGTTTCACCACCTTTGTCTTGTAGAGGAGGGAAACAAGTACACCTCAACCTGAGAGGCCTCTGATGCATTGCAGGTGTCTGGTGTCCTGGTTCACACACACACAAAATATCTGTCATTGCTAAAGCTATGAGTACATATTGGTCTACAGTACAGTGTAACAAACTCTCTCACACATTTAACATTGAACTCCCTCTGTGTCAACATCCCCACACCTCCTGCTCCTCGACTCGCAGTCCTGGTCTCCATTTAAGACGGATCGTAGCGTGTGTGCCTGTGTGAGCTGAGGCTAGATTTATATGACACTGATCTGTTCTGGTTAATCCTCAGTGAAGCACACACACACACAGTGAGTGTACAAACATGACACACTTAAGCACAAAACACTTCTCAGGCCTTGTGTCAGTGAAGACCTTGAGACTGGATGTTTGAAACTGAGGCCCAATTCTCTCTCCCCCCTGTGTGTAGGAAACAGAAGAGTGTGTGGCTCTGCTGGAGAAGGAGTGTGTAGCACTGAGCCCTCAGCTCGGTCCTCTCAGGATCCTCCCCCTCCACGCTGGACTGGGTGGGCTGGCCCAGCGGGTCTACGAATCCGAGCCCGAAGCTTCTGCCGTGAGGGAGAACAACAGCTCAGAGGGCGTGGACAGCTCAGCGCTGGGAGCCGGGGGTCCCGGGGTCAGAAGGAAGGTTATCCTCACCGATACCCTCGGAGAGGCTTCCTTCTCCCTGCCGGCTATTCGCTATGTCATAGACACAGGCCTTCAACTTAAAACTGTGAGTTTATTTTCATCATGATTCGGTTAAGGTTATTAAAGACATATATACAAATAGTCTGCTTGGAACAATAATGTGTGTCTGACATGTTTTTTCTGCAAAAAAAAGCTTAATTTCCACATTAAAGTCCTTAAGAAATCACCCACTCCTTCTAGCTCATTAAACCTTCCAGAATCTCTGAATATGCAAATGTTGTTGATTTCTAAAGTTTTCCTGCTGAACACAAGATGTCTCTTACATCACTGTAAAGTCCATTCTCAGTGGATGAAAATCTTTAAATCCTTAAAATCAGATTTTTAATGAGCTCAGAGAAACTTTCCACTTTCGGCAGATGAATGTGAAAACATCCTTGTAGTGTCAAACTCTGCACATACAGCATTCAACAGCACACTGTCATCACAAATTCTCCATTTCAAAAATGATTCTCTGCCACAGGTTTACAACCCACAAATAAGAGCAAACTCACAGGTCCTGCGGACAATCAGCAAACACCAGGCCGATATGCGCACTCAAAGGGTGAACAGCCACCTTCCAGGTAGGTCAAAGGTCATTGCTGCAGTTTGTTTCCTATTTCCTACTTTTTATTCTGTTTACTTTTTGTATATTCATATTAAGAATGTCATTCAATTTTCATTATAAGAGTAATGTACTGTATCATGACTGTTTACTTCATGTGTTCACTTGTTGGTCTTCAGGGCTGTGTCTCCGTCTTTACCCCCAGTCTCTGTATGATGATGGGATGGGGGAGGCTCATTGTCCAGGGGTGGTGGAGGAAAACCTCAGCCACCTGGTGCTGCTCCTCAAGAGGCTTGATATTGCCGACATGGGACAGTGCAAGTTCCTGGACAGACCAGGTAACTCTATGAGCTGCTGTGAATAACACTTTCACTTGCCCCTGGATGTCGCACTAGAGCACCAGCATCTCAGGCCAAAACAATAGGACAGAAATAAAATAAAAACAATTGGTAATTTGGCCGACTAGACTCCATTCACAAAACCAGTAATTGAACAGAGCAGATAATCATAAAACACACTGCAAACTAGACTGAAACAAAATAAAACTCACCAAAATTGTCTGTTTTACTCTTTCCACAGTTTTTCCAACAATCAACAGCTCTGATTTGGTCAAAATAAACCCACTGAGTTAGATATGAAAACATTGGTGAAAAGGGCTGCAGTGGCCACAAAATAAGCTAACATTAATCCTTGAGGACAAATGCACCTGTCAAAGTCCGTCCACTAACAGTAGTTGTTTTTGCCACTGACTGGCTGGAAAGGTTTAACCAGAAACAGCCATAATATCACTATCACTCTCCACCAGACTCCATAGACAAAAACTTGAATTTTACCTTAATAAAGTTTTAAATCTCATATATAACCTCTAAGGAATGCAATGCATCAGAGTCATTTATAAGCGCAGATAACTTTTTATTTCAATGTACTGTAATTAGCCAAAAAAGGTTATTTGTTACTCCTTTGTCCCAAATACATTGTCCTGCTGCCAGATATACTTACTACAGCACCAAATGTGGATTAATCTGGCACTAAAAATAGTCCCCATGCACTTTTTCCTACTGTTTGATAAAAACACAACATGTTGGTTTTGGTCTTTCTGTGGCAAAAAATAATAGAACAGCTGGTTCATCAAGCCCAGTGAACGGTGCACTTTGTCCTCCCTGTGTGTCACATTTGTGGAGTGTCTACTATAGTTCATTGACATTAGAGTAGTGTGTCCACCGTTTGCCATCCCTGTTGCTTCGTCAGACCATTATCCACAGATGTGTCCTACAGCTGTTTGCAGTTGGTGTTGTATCAGCACTTCCAAATATTAGACCATGTTTCTCTCTCTCAAAATAAAATGTGGTCTCTACCTCCTCCCTCCCTCCCTCCCTCCCTCCCTCTCTGCTCCATATTTATTTTTTAATGCCAGCCCCTGAGGCTCTAATGCAGGCCCTGGAGGACCTGGACTACCTGGCAGCGCTGGATGATGATGGTAACCTGTCAGAGGTGGGCATCATAATGTCAGAGCTGCCACTGGAGCCGCCGCTGGCTAAAGCCCTGATCGCTGCCTGCGAGTACGACTGTGTTGATGAGCTGCTCACTATAGCTGCCATGCTCACAGGTAACTGCAAACAGTCAGCTCACATTTGCAGAGATATAATGGCCATGACACAGTGACAGGCTTTGCTGTGTAAATAAGGTGTAACAACATTTACATTTGATCTGATGTTTGTCTTGTATCAGCTCCTTCCTGCTTCGTGACAGCAGAACCCAGCAGAGAGGAGGCTGCGGTCACACACTGGCGACCTCTAATGCACACGGAGGGAGACCACATGACCCTCATAAATATTTATAACGCCTTCAAAGAGCGTACGTACACTTCAGCCTTCATTACTTAAATCCTTTAAAGGTTACAGGGTTCTCACCAGAGGTTGTGCTAGACTTTCTCCTTGTCTGTCAATTTGAAAGAGAGAGTTGAAAAAATTCTGTAAATAATGTATTATTTCCTGTCATTTTAATTGTATCTGTTTAAGGATAATAAGACATATAGCCTATTTAAGGGTTCTTTATGCAACTTTCAGAAAATCATTGTTAATAGTGACACCAGTGGCTGTTCTCAATTTACCAGCCAGATCAGCCCTTGGCATCTGGTTGAAACTAGCTGACAGTATTTTGCTACGTTAGCTTGTAATTCCTCCGAGTTAGCAAGCACAAAACCATAATATCACAATACATTGTGTTTGTGTTGGACTTGTGTTGTGGTAGGTGTTGGTCGTTTGTTGACGTCAGCGGACTCCATTTATAAGCTAACATTAGCTAGTGTTGCTCAGTGTTGGCATAAAGGTCACATCCTTTGGATTTTCGGAAAATCTGACCTGCATCCCTGCGTAAGGCTGATATATACATATAATATATATTCAAATTATTGGATGGTTTGTGTGTGGTAATTGCAGATAATCAGGATGAGGTGTGGTGCGCAACAAACTTCCTCAGTCACCCAGCCTTACGATTGGCTGTGGTGATCAGGGCGGAGCTGCTGGAGGTGATGCAGCGAATAGAGCTTCCTGTTTCTCCTCCCGCTTTTGGATGCCAAGACAACTGCACGAACATCAAGCGTGCGCTCATCTCAGGCTTCTTCCTCAAAGTAAACACCCCGTTTTCTTAAAACTGTGTGATGAAAATTCATCAGTCGCCTCTTCCTTTAATGACTTTTATTTCTTATATATATTATCTCCCTTACATATCTGCTATTATATTTATACTATGTTACATTTCTTGTAATATATATTTTTAGCCTTACTAGTGTAGGGCTGGGTGATAATTCAATAGTCGCACGTACTGACTAGTACATAATATTCTGTTATGTATATTATAAAACTATAACTGTGTTGGTCTAACTCTACTCCCCATATCACACCTTCCATAGTAACATTACTGTTACTGTTACTACCATATTTTCTCACGTCGTCCTTTTCAGGTGGCTCATGATGTGGACGGCTCAGGTAACTACCTCCTGCTAACTCACCGCCACGTGGCTCACCTGCACCCTTTCTCCTCCTACCTGTGCCGCCAGCCACGCCCCGACCCCCCCAGCTGGGTCCTCTACCACGAATTCACCATCTCCCGCGATAACTGCATTCGCATTGCTTCCGAAGTCCACCCTCAGATGTGAGTCCTACCGCAAAGTGGATTAAATTGATTGTTTTATGTGTGCAAGTTTTTTATTTCTTAATGAATTATTATAATTATTTATTTCTTCATACATCTTGTCCGGTCTGTTTATGATGAAGCAGGACTAAGTGTTAATCTTGGAACTTGAGTTTGACTTATGTAGTGAAGTTATTAGATGTGGTCAAAATCATTTGGTGCTGTCAGTGGTAATCAGTGATATTTTTGTAAAAGTTTTGTCATGTCTTTGAATTTGTTATGCAGGGCAAACAATTAGCACCAGCCAACAGCCAAATGCTTTAATGTTTAAAGTGGTTAGTATATTTGCTTCAGTCACCTGCCAAAAAAACAAGCTAAAAACAAAACAAAAGTAAATTTTACACCCTGTTGTTACATATGTCTTTTAAGCATTTTGAGGCTACATCTGTCACCATATTTGTTGTGTATAGTTGTCGTGGTTACTGGTGTCGTTCTCATCTCTCATTAGAGGAAGAGACATTTGTCCATGTTTCAATGCGACTGCTCTGCAGTAAAAATATATAATATAAATAATGTAAAAGCCCAGTACAAAGCCGATATAATGAACATCCTGTTGCTCTCCTCTGTGCTGTAGGCTTGTGGAGCTGGCTCCTCAGTACTACCTGGGAAACCTGCCATCAAGTGATGGCAAAGAGTTGCTGATGGAGCTGAGGCAGAGTCTGGAGCCCCAGGTGTACGAACAGGATGGAGTGTCAGACGAGCACAGCAGGACTCACAGAGACGCTGACAGGACGGGGGACGCTCACAATCAGTCCGGCACCGAGCTCTGTGTTGTTCAGTGAGACGGAGCATCTCAGGAGAGGACACTAAACACACAGCTGCTGTCACTTTACTGTTTGATCTGAGATTTGGTACTTTGTATGAATTAGTCTGGGAAATCTCATTTGAGGTTGAATCATTTTGATGTGTGATTTCAAATTGACTTTTACTGGAAAACACTAATGTACAGTAATGTATTGATAATATTTCTCATATGCAGTGGCTTTGGAAAATATTCAAACCTCTTCGTTTTCACCTTGTTGTGCTATGCATCCACTTAATTTAAAATTTTATTCACAATATTTAATGAGGGTGTTTCTGTGTTTGTGTATATATATATATATATATATATATATTATGGTTGAGCGAGTACTTGGCTGTAACGAGTATACTTGTATACTGCTAAATGTAGCAGCTTTTATTAAAAAATTCTGTTCTGACTTTTGTGATCAAAAAGATTGCTCTCAAGCTCAATTCTGTAAATATTTTTTTAATAAATGTAGCAACTTCTGATCAACTGAACAATTTCCAACTTAAATTAACAACCTCAGGTTAGCTATGACCACTTCCGTTTTAAGCACCACCCACGTCCGGTGTAAAGCTGCAGTAGGTAGTTTTTATAAAAATAACTTTTTGTCATATTAGCTGAACCTTTCACTATATCCTGACAGTAGAACATGAGACAGATAATCTGTGAAAAAAAACAGGTTCCTCTGACTCCTCCTAGTGCTCCTAATGGCATTTGCACGAATCCACCCCAAACAAAAACAATTGAATTTGTCACAAAGTGTATGTAATGTTTTTCACTTCCTCAGACTATACAATCAACTATCCTTCTGGGTTCTGATTGGTTGTTTTCGTTTCGTTCTGATTTTTT